CTTTCGATAACGAACCAGACCCAGAGTCGTCCCGTCGCGCACCAACGCAGCCACAAGCGCCCGCGCACGGAGAGCAGAAGGGAAAAAAAATTGACAATCGCGTGCGATAGTCCCCTGACTCCTATCCAATCCAGTGACCTAGTTGACGTCTCGCTTCCGCTCTTTCGAGTCAATCCAGATACGCAGCCACAGCAAATGACTTCAAACACTCTTTTTATTACATTTGTTTACTGGGTCGATGATATTTTTGTAGCAATGACGTCCAATGCGACTCATGGCGAGAGAGGAACAAGCACAGAAAAGTCGATTTTGACAAGAGCGGAAAGCCGATTGAGATCTCCACTACCGAAACCCGAAGATCCTGGTGCGCCATCGCCGATGTGCGCAAATAATTTGAAATATATAAAATTTGAAACAAATCTGTATATCTCTAGACTCCCGAAAGACGTGCACTGTGAGACCGCGGAGATATTCTAAGGAACAAACCAAACCCTCACACAAGGTTACCGAAAGAAGTGGATATTGTCGAGCAAAAATATACAGAGTGGTGAGACGAAAGAAATGATTACTAAGATTCCGGCCCGTTGATCCGCCTCGAGTCTCCATTACGCTCACTGCCTCTGCACCAAAAAATCTCTCCGCCAGCCGCCTACTCGTCGTCGCCAACAACAACAACCTCGGGTTTCTTGGGGAAGATCAACCCATCCCAGTTGTAATCCACCACGGTGTTGTCGCTCCAGTTGGGGTAGGTGTCGGCGATCCAGGCCTCTTCGGCGAAAACACGGAAAGGTGCGTGATACATCACCGTCACGCACTCAGGACATTTCCAGCTACGTTCCAACCACAACCGTATACATACATAACAATGTCCATGGCCGCACTCGTACCTTCATGAAAAAATAGATGAAGAAAATTAGTCTCGATCTATCGCACAAGCTGGAAGGCTCACGATACCGGGTGAGATTTTACGGAGTGGCATATACCACATTTGTGGTGTTCTCTTGCTGCTGCTGGCTCAGGAGGTCCTCTCCTCTCCTTCCAAAGGTCTTGGTGTCGCAACGGTACAACGCGCTCGTAACGGGAACCGCGCCCGAGGAGATTACTAACACGCCGCAGCCGGCGCGCCTCATCACGACGGCGGGCCCGCTCCGAACCCGCATTCTCGTCCCTGCGGCGGGGGATTCGAAGCGTTGGGCCTGCTGCATGGGCAGTACGCATTTCCAGCAAGCTGGCCTCGAGCGCTAGAATAGCTCGCGGCCCGCGTGCACTGTGCCTCTTTCGTTTTGAGTTACACTACTTTCTATGTTATTCATCTATTCTATTCTTTGCACTTGCTCTGTCGTCTAGTATCCATTTTAGGGTTCTTAGTTAACTCATGATCAACGAGCGCTTCTCTCCGCACAATCAACCGTTTGATCATCCTTTGACTTTGTCTGATCCTGTCAAGAATCTCCGGTTCCCGCATTGCCGTCATCGGTTCCGTTAGCCTCCATTGAGCAAATGTTCAACCAAGATTCGATCAAATATCTTTGCCGGTCGGTTCCGTTGGACAGATGTTCAACATATTTAACCTCTTCACGGGTCTGTTCAGATGGAGATGTACACATTGCGTAACTCTCCACTAACAGGCACTCGGGCTAGCATCCCAATTGAGAACAATTAAATTCAGATGGTGACGAACAAGATATCAGAAATAAGTAGATGGCTACTCTACAATTTGGCACGCCTGTGGAACGGTTCGGCAGCGTTAGAGAAGCCAAAAAAAAAAAACCAAAAAGTGAAATAATAATAATTGAACGTACTGGATTCGCGGTGGATGCACGAGGGGCTCCCGACAAGGCTCCCACTCCAGGTACTCCCCACGGAGACGGTCCGTTCGCCTGAAAATATTCCCTTGATGCGTGAATTCTCGGCCAGCCAGGAGGCAAGCGGCGCACTGCTCCACCAAAACCGGAGGCGCCGACACCGAAGGGCGGACGGGAACACGAAAGACGAAATCGTAGACGAAATCGTAGCTGATGATGAGTTCCTCAAGAATCAGGTAACTAGAGATGCCGTGAGCCTGAGCGAGCTTCACCCAAATGAAACGAAATTATACCGTCCAATGCCAATGGGCATGCCTTGAGGAACATTTCTGTTTCTGCCACTTGCTTTTCCTAATGAGCAGATATAAGACCCAGCAAATGAAAAGAACGGCGGGTTTACCTGGCCTTACGAGATGGTCAGGTAGCTCATCCTCTGGAACAAGCTCTGGAAGGTCGTCGTCAGAATTGGCGACATCGTTGGGTGGAATAAGCTCTGGAAGGTTGTCCTCAGAATTGGCGACATCGCTGGGGTTTTCGTTAGTGTCGGTGGCAGCCTCCATGAGGGAAGTTTCGTTCAGCTGTGAGGCGGCCCAAGTCAATCGGCAGCGAATCAAGGGTCAAATGTTCGCACCTTGCTGTGACCCAGATCTGAGATCATGCGTTCCAAATAGGGACCCGCCAAAGCTGGTCGATCGTTGAAATCGGCCTGATCGCTGAAAAAAAAAAACAGCCCGATGGTCTGTGATTATAATAAAAATCATAATGGATTACGCTAGCCAACGCATTGACAGGGGACATGCGGGAGACTCAAAGACTCGCCGATTTAGGTAGCCCCATCCCAGGAAAAAAAAAAGAATCCCCACATTTGCCGCCCGCTCTATACCATGGACTCCTGGTTCCCCATCGTTCGACGTGGCCGCTTTGGACGTTCCGACGCCGGCTATATCTTTGACAGAGACGCGATGGGCCCCCCTATCCGTGGACGAACGTCGTACGCCTTCGTGAATCACCTTGTCTACCAAAATCAGGTTGTCAGTCTCCTTGAAGACAACGACCCAGTGTATCGCGGTGATGTCGGTATCCTGTGATATTTCTGTATGTTTCCTCATGATTAGTAGATTCCTGCCGAGCAAGCCTACGTCGCGGCACAGCCCGCCGCTGACGATAGCGATGATGGGGAGTCTGAAATCGATCAGCTCAGCTCCACTGACTCCCGCGCTTCAAGCCCCGACATGCGCGCTTCCAGCCCCGAGATGCGCTCTTCCAGCCCCGACCAAATTGATTTCGACATGCTTCCCGTGCCTGAGCGTCTCAGCAGTCCAGTCACTCCAAGGACCTACCGTCTAAAGACCTACGCTCGGCGTGACAGGGAACGCGCCAGGAATTTGGCTGCTGCCCAGGCGGCTGCCCAGGCTGCTGAAATCCAACTCATTCGGGCCCAGGCAGAGGCATTCAGGGTCGCGCGCAAGCGCAAGGCGCAGGCGCGCATGCTCACACTCCGCCTTCGACGCCCCACCAGCCCAACACGTCGTTCACGTCGTACCCGTTGCGGGCGCCGGGGCGACAACACCGACTTTGGGGTCTTCCTACATGAGCACCTGGCGCGTGCAGGAAACAGTATTCATCTATGGATTGAGTAAGTTATCTGCATCTTCGTTTTCAATTCTTGCTTACCGGTGCTCTTGAAGCAAACCTCGCCCACTCGTTGACCGCCATGATGTAGTGATGGGCGTCATTGCTGGTGGTCCGAAGGGTAACCACGAGTTGTGGATTCAAGTCAACAAGTGGCTCCTCGGCGCGATGGTCCGACTGTACCGCAACGGCGATTTCAGCGATCTAGGGGAAGGTGAGTCCCGGGTTCGCTTCGGGATCGGATATGGGGAAGAGTACGCCGTATGTGCTTTCCTTCCTCATCTGGTGAACGCAGCAATACTGATCTCAATCCCAGTCGCCCCACCAGATCGGAAACTTCCCAGTCAATCTGCTCGAGATCTCCGCGATCGAAATCAATGACGGCTTCAAAATCGCGTCTGCCTATCACAATCGTAAGTGCAGTTTCCGTATAGATTGCGCAACAGGTTTTGACACGAACCTCGCAGATCTCTACCAGCAGGCTGCGCCAGTCAGTTATGCGCGCGTCGAGGGCCAGGTGGAAGAGCTCATCCGACGAGAGATCGCCTTCCCTGCATTCCAGAACTCCGTGTTCACCACGAGTGAGATCAGCTTTGGCGACGCACCTTCCCCTGTCCGCAAAAACACCCAGATAGCCTTCGACACGCTTGAGGCTGTCACCGTCGTCGGAAACTGGGACCACAAAACCGGGGGGGGTATCCTATTCCCGGAGGACGAAAGCATCGTGCAGCTGAAACCGGGCGCCACCGTGCTCTATCCTTCTGGAACAAAAAGGTTTTCCTGGGTTGCGATCGCGCCCCATGAAAAGAGGTACTTTTTCCGCCAATTTTGTCATGCCGGGGTGTTGCGTTGGATTGAGAAGGGCGGGCGCTCAGATACTGAGTTCGAGGACTTGGCGTCAGCACCGGAGATAAACGCTTGGAATGCGCAGCGGGCCAAGCGCGGGCTGACGAGCGTCAAAAGGTTTAGCAAGCTCGGTGACATCTTTGTCTTTTGAATAGTCGTAGCCAGTACCTAGTCGTCTGTATGAATTTTGGTCAAAATGACTTATTTTGTTCGACTTGTGACTTCGTTCGACTTGGTGAGAGGTCAAGGACTTAAGAAGAGTGAAAAGAGCTGCACGTCAAGTTAAGCGCCTTGGACGGACCGGCGGCCCGACTAGTCCTGCATTCGAATTCAGTGATAATTGCCCTATGAGCGGTGCCTGGACACGCCAAGTTTTAGCAAACCAACGGAGTACAAAGATCGCGAGCGGAAAAAAACCTCCCCAATTTTTTATTTGGTTTAAATGGTTAGTCGATAATCACGTGAAGCATCGCGTTGGTTGAGGGAGGGCATACACAAAGCCAAGCAAAGGAAACGCGTCAGCTGGTTCTAGCCGCAGAGGTTAGATATAATGTTAAACAGATCAGATTATTGATTGTGGGGGCCAGAAAAACTAGTCTCTCTTGACTCTATTATCAGTACTTCCTCGTCTAGAAGACAAAAACTGATCTCGTTTGAAAGAGAATTCAAAGAATGCGACAACAGAGACACAAAAATATGCAACAAATCATGAACGAACGACACCGGCCTGATTCGAACAGGCGATCTCTTGCTACTGGCCCTCGCTAAGAATGCTCCCACCGAGTGGCCCGCAAACGCTCAACCGTTGAGCCACGGTACCGATATGTCCTTTTTAAATTAAAACATTACTAACAAGTTCCAGGCATTAGACGCCCGCGGCGCCAACTCCGACTGCACCCGCGAAAAGCCTCGGACTCTCCTGTCAAGCTCAAGCCGTCTATTCAATTTTGCGTCAAGTGTCGTGAAATATATAGTTATTGTATAGTAAAAGGAAGAGCTACGAGAGATGACGCCCATCTACATCAACTCGACGATTTCTGGCATCAACCCGACGATCATACGCATCAACCCGATGTCCATATGCATCAACATGACCCCGACGACCATCATGCCAACCATCACCCATGTCGCCGACGTTCCCTGCCGTGTCGTCACTGTCACTGCTATCTTCCGCGCCCGTGTCACACTCATACCCGCTTGCCTTGGCGTCGCTGTCCTGGTCGTCATCGCTGTCTTCGTCGCTGTCAGGGCCGGGGCGGAGGCGGTCGATGTTTGGCGCGGTGTCGTCGCGGAGTTGATCTTCATCATCAGTGAGTTGATCTTCATTGTCAGTAGGTAGTTCGTCGGCGCTATGGTAAGGCTCTTTCTCCATCTGCTTCGCCCGTTTGCGCTCGAGCTTGGCGCGGAGGTAAGAGGTATATGCTGCTACACCGAACTTGACTTTATAAACCCTATGGTGGTCAGAGGAAGGTCAGATGCGAGGGAGAGGATGGTGGATGTGGACACACGCATTGCGACGCTGAGCCTCCCCAAGGCGTAGATAATCTCTATTCCTGCGTGATGTTAGCAATGTGACACCTGCTTTAAAAAAAATCACACGTACTTTTGTCGATATCTCGCTTGGTGGGCTCGGGCGCGTGCTTTGGCATTCGCTTGCTCCTCGAGGGGTCTCTCCTTGAGCTCGGCACGCTTTCTGAGGTAGGTGGTGCGATCAGGGGGCAGGAAAACCTAACAGAGGTAAGCGGTGCACCTCGCCATCCGTAAACGGGCCTTTTCATTGCGCCGCGCTTTGCGTTGGGCTCTGAGAGAGAGGGGATATAAGGAAGGGATTCGGGTGCGTGTGTACAGAGCTCACTGGATCTCGTACTGGCTGGGGCCCGGGCAGTATTTGGACTTCATTGGCGGGTGTGTCATTGTAAAGGACAGAGTGGTGACAAATAGCGCACAACTACTTGACGTCGGCTAGTTTGATGTGGGGAGGAGAGATGAACTTTGAACGCGAATTGAAGTACATTAGTGCAGATCTGAATTTACGTGTATATGTGTGAGGTCTCCCAATAGTTATGACCAGTCGCAGGAAAGAGGAATGCTTAGAAATGTGAAGTAACGGTTCGGTATGGTGAGTTTGCGGACGGTGGATGGGATTTTTGGTTATATTGTGGCGCTCACCAATATTCTGGGATAGTATTGAGGTGCCCTGTAGGTTAGTGGAAGAAATTGAGTGTTGACTAGAGCCTCACGCGAGGCCCTGGAGGAGGAGGGTGAGGTGCATGCGAAATGCAAGTTGTGGCGAGTTCGCAATGGCGGCTAGGGTTAGCGAGCAGCTTCTGAGACAAATACCAGTGCAGTAGCACTGTAGAACAGTTAGAGAGACTTTATGAGGCATAATCTCAAATTTTGTACAATTTGAGGGTGTAGGACATAATTGAGTCTGAAACATAGGTGAGATTTCATATGTCAGTACAGTACAAGAGTCAAGAAGCGCATTTGTGGAGAGTTCGCACGATGCAATCCTAAATTAAATTCTAGTAAAACAAGTAAAATTTTATTCACTTAATCCTGCTGGATTCGGAGAGACCGCAGTGACTGCAAACTTTCTATCAGTTCGGATTGGATGTGGGTGTTGAACGGGATGTGGAAATGAACGATCCGGCAGTTGCCGTTTGTGGCAAGTTCGCACTCACGTAACTTTCATGGCCAGACGCACCCTCTTCCCTAATAAATCCCGGGTTAAATCACAAAGAATCCCCCAAAAATCCAATTGACCCTGTAATACAATAAGGTATTGATTTGGCCGCAAGCCCATCGAAAAAAAAAACTACGAATGATTTCGTTGTGATTGCGTTGCGCAAACATTTTGAGGGGACCCCAAGGGTGGGAATTCGTACTGTCAATTTCAATGTTCCGCCATGGCTCGCATATTTCGGTGCCCAAAGAAATGAGATTCAAAAAGAAGTAGATATAAAACAAGTAGATAGGGTATATATATACGCGCTACAAAAACGGATCGCTTGGGGTCGAGGGATTTTGGTGAGCAGGAGCGTGCTTGAGCGTATTGGAATGCAGCGTTGGCGTCAGACACCGAGGTATAACCACGAAAGATACTGTTTCGGACGTTCTGCACGAGCGCTCGAGTTTCAGGCCTGAACAGTAGAGGTGAGATGGGAACTATTATGCGGTGGAGTGGGGGCGTACCAAGTCAAGACCACGCCACAGCGTAGGCCGCAGAAGACCACATACGCCTTCTTCTTGGTCTTTGGGAAGGGAGTGGCGCGCTCAACGGTGTGGACACTGGCACAGACGACCCCTTGAGTCGCAATGCCTGCGCGGGACCTGTACGATCGTCAAAAAAAGTCTCTTGAGAGTAAAAAAGAAGCCCGAGTACCATTGCGTGGTGTACCCAGACCTCGTGGGGGATTCATAGTAGTATGTTGCAGTGGTGGGGGGGGATGACTGCGTAGATTGGCAGAGGGAAGGGTGCGAGGAGCACTGGCCCTGTAGGCGGGAGTATTAGGCGATGGGGTGCGAGGCGGAGGCGTGGCGGGCGACAAAGGGCCGTCTCCTAGGTCGAGGCTGGCGATGAGATTGGCGATCGCCTCGTCGTTGTACTCATCTGAGCTATCGAGGGCTGTCATGGATTGCGAAAAAAAAAAGTGGGCGATAAATGCGCACGGAGAAGGAAGTTGGAGAGAAGATAAGTGCCCCAGCCCTGAGAAAATGAATCAGAAGAACAATCAGAACAATGTCAAGCGCGATCAGAATGCAGGCGGCTGAGACCCGAGCTGGGGTCGGTTGAAGCCTTGAAGTTGAAGGGCAAGGAAAGGGCCGTATGGGGAGAGAGATTTGGAAAGAGATCTGGTGGGAAGAAGCACAAGAGTTGAAGATCTGCTCATTTGGGTTTTGATCCGTGGATGGTTTATCAGGGTATGATTTTTGTTATGTTACGTTACTGACACGATATGCCACATCAAAGTCATTTCTCAGATACTACGGCAGTACACGGTGAACTACGAACTACGCGACAATACGGCTGGAATACGGGTTCAGAGTCATTTGGGGGCAGGAAGGGGAGATCTAAAATTGATAAGCACACGAAACACGAGAAAAACGCGTGAAAACTTGCTCATCATTGCTGGGCGATCACGGCCACCATATTGTAGGCGAGCAGCTCGTTGAAGGCTGCGAGTGCCAAGGCTTGAGTGGTGTAGCCCTTCATGCCGCTGCCGCGGACGCCGACAACGGCGTTGACCGCGAGAGCGTTGCTGAGGGTGATGCTGACATAGAGGCCGCGCGTAATTGCATACCAGGAAGGCGCGTCCCCGCCAGTGTGCTCATCCTCGGCGATGGGCATGAGGGGTGCAGTAGGAACGACGGTATACAATGCACCCGCGACCCAAGGGCCGCGAGTGCGAAATCCGACGTGAGCAGGAGGAACAGGGTTTTGAACGACGGGCACAGCTGTTGGAACTTCGGGTGTGGCGGTCTGAACTGGGGCTGAAAACACTGGAGCAGGTGCAGGGGAAGCACTGAAGACGTGAGTGAGACACTATGAGAAGGAGGGAGCATAAGGATCACCTTGGCCTTGGGAGAGCGCGGTCATGGTCGCCCACATGTTCTGGAAATTGGCGATAGCGGCGGCTAGAGGAGGGAAGATCAATAGGTGAGGAGACAGTGAGATAGATGAGCGTACGGTCACTGTTGGGGGGGAAAGCAAAGGCCGCTACTGGAACAGATGCTGTTCCGGAAGAGGATTGAGGAAAGTTGGTCATGGTGGTAGAAAGTTGGGGGTTTAACGAGATCAAAGTGGGAAGGACAGCTTTTATAAGGTGGAGGAGTTTGAATTCCGCCGTGATTGTCGAATGGGGCTCCCGTTAAGATCTAAATGCGTGTCAGGATCTGGGAAATTGACTGAATCCGAAATGAGCGCGAATGTGCAAATAAACAAACACGATCTCTTCCAAACAAAGTACATCCACCACTAAATCGTCACAGCAGAGACAAAGAGGTGAGTTGTCCCTGAGGTACCAAAGCGCGGCAGACACTGAGAATGGAGAGCCAGGATTATGCCAAAGTCATCCAAAAAACGCGAGCGAAAGGGAGTCCCGAAAAAAGAGAGAAAGAATTTGCGCCTGTGGGCACAAGGGTCTCGAGAGGATATCCTGAGTCCTCACCTTGACGACTACGGCGCGGCGTTGGACAAAGGCTGGCGGCAAGAGCGCAAATACTGGAAGCTGGAGGCAAAACCCACGCCTGGAACTTTGGTCACGCGTGACGTCACGTCGTGGCTGTGCTCTGGGGGAATGCTTCCCTCAGCCCCCCTCCTCTTCGCTAGCGCTGCATTCTCCCCTGGCGCGGTGCCCTTTCGCTGGCGCTAGCCCTTCCGCTGGCGCGGAGCCTTTTTCTGAAATTTTTCTTTTACTGCAGGCTCAATTTTTCGGGACAGCGGCATGCAAACCACAGTGCAATTGCCATCCCAGCGGAAACGGTGGAGCCCCACTGCGTGGAGCTTCCACATCCTGGGCCTGTCAATTGCCCTGTGTTTTCTTATGCCGCTCCATTGGATATAAGATTTACACGATGGCGGTGAAGCCGGGATGGTACAGGCTCGTGAAGTATCACTGCTTTTCCTACTGTACTTGGGCTGAGCGCTCCCCGGTCCTACCGAGCTGACAACATCCCGGGACTACGGTACGACCACAGGATGTCGTTGGTTTCAAAAGATGTTTTGTTCAACGAGCCTCTGGATAAACACCATTTCCCATCGTTCTTCAAGTTCCCAATTCTTTCAGCGCCCTTGGGATCGTGAGATTGCGTATCCAC